TAAATCCAGGGAGTGGTTGGCCAGACCTCCTCTAGGGACTTAACAAATTCCAAGATCTGCTTCCTATCTGTCTATTGTGTTTCTCTTCCAACAAAGGGAAGTTGTGGCTGACACCCACAGCAGTAGTCTGGGCAGTCTAGGTGGGTCAGAAGCAAGGTGAGAGGCCTGCTCTGCTCTTCTGTCTCTGAAGCCTGAACAAGACTGCTTCTATTTTATTTCCATAACACACACATGGATACATCTTAAAATAAGAACATACTATTCACACTGGCAAACCTCAAGTTTTTTTTTTTTTTGTCATCCCATAAAATCTTTGTCATGAGTGTCAGTACTTAACAGAGATAATTTACCTCTGAAATAAAATCTTAAAAAAAAATCAATTCGACAGTTACTGTATTAACCTGTGTGTATAAACGTGAGTATGTGCATCAGTGATTCATTGCTACAGTAACATCACAGAATGTAGTAATTGAAAACTGCAACTGTTATTTCTCATGAGGTGGTTCTGATGATCTGGTCCATACTCAGCTGATATCATCCGGGATCAGTCAAATGGGTTCCTCTTTTCTGTTCTCACGTGCTCTCTCATTCTTTAGAGGCTTATTGGCTTGTTGTCATGTAGATTAAGAGTTCCAGGAGAATGGAATTGTGTAAGGCCTTTGGGGCACATGCTAAGAACTGGCATAGCATCACTTCCATTGAATTCTTTTGGTCAAAGCAATTCACAGGGCTAACCTAGATTCTTGGGTGGGTAACTTGATTCCCACCTGACTGGTGGGGCTGTAAAATCACTTTGCAAAGACAGGGACATAAGGGGGCATTAATTAGCCATCAATGCAATCAGTTTACTACAAAGTGTGCTCCTAATATATTTATATTAATCACATTTTAGTTGTTATATATTTAACTTAAGGAGATTTTTCTTTCGTGGTTTGGATTTGGATAAATTGGACAACTTTCAATATCGTAGTGCTGAGTTAAGTAAAATTGTGGACATTATAATGAGTTCAAGGATCCTGGGAATAATCAAGGAGATATGGTCCTGGGTGACAATGGCACATAAAACATTTTATTTGCCTCATGTGGACAGCTGTGAGAGAGGAAGCCCCTCAGTGGAAGACCTAGAGACCATGGCAGAGGGTCACCATTCAGAAGGGGAAGGGAGTAAGGGCCCTCCTGTGGGAGTGGAGGAGGGGGAGCTTTCCTGTCTGGTGATTTCACTCACAGCAAGAGGGGGGGGTCTCTGGGTCTTTGGCTAGTAAATGTTGGTTATAGTTTTACAGGAAATGCAAAGCAGGCAGGCTCTAAATGGCCAAAAATTATGGTTATTCATCCCATATTTAAAACATTTGGATCTTTAAGAATTTTGAGTTTGGAACCAGCAGGCTTTTATTTCTAAATATGGGATTTGAATTTGAATTGCAAAGAATTTTGAGAGGCTGCAAAGTATCAACAAAAGTCATCGGTGCCCTTAGAGTGAAAAAAAAAAGTAACATAGTCACAAATCACATTAAATATTAGGAATACGAGATTTTGTAAGAAGTAGATCAGAGAGAAAAAATGTATAAGTATTTATGAGAAATAGTTTTTGTGATGTAAGGAATTTTTGCTTCCTAGGAAAACTGTAATAAAGGCCCTGAATGATTTTCCCTCTCTCCTATTAGGAGCAGACTGTTATTCGAAAATCAGTTTTTTTAGTGTAACAGAAAGGAAATCAAATTCTGATTTTACTTTTTTGTGTACCAACTATGCAACATTTCATAGTCAAGGACTCACAAGCATTTCTCTATTTGAGGATTAAGCTTATCCAAATTGACCTAACTACAATCAAAATTTGGTATATTTCATAGCTTCTTTTCAAACCCATTATTTATAAATATAATTCACTTTCCATCAAGTCTTCTATAAATTATTCTTCAGCTTCAAATTTCTCTTTATTTTTTCTTTTATTTTTCCCTTTCTTTTTCAACTGATTAAAAAGCAGACAAAACATATCCATCATTTTGTAAACATTTTTGCATTTCCTTATTCTTTTAATTAATGTCATTCTAATCACTCATGTTAACTATAGCTTTTACTCACTCATTCTAATCATTCATGCTAACTATAGCCTTTAACCAAAATAACTAACTTCAATTCTCCCCCTCCCTCTCCCAAACCCCCTTCTGTTGCAGGAAGGGGGACCCCTTCCAGGGCCAGAAACTGGGGTCTTGTCTAACACTCGGAAATGAATTGTCTGAGGAGACACATGTGCTGACAAAGCAAGAGATTTCACTGGGAAAGGGCGCCCGGGCGGAGAGCAGGACGGTGAAGGAACCCAGGGGAACAGCTCTGCCACGTGGCTCACAGTCTCGGGTTTATCGTGATGGGATGAGTTTCCGGGTTGTCCTTAGCCAATCACTCTGACTCAGAGTCCTTGCTGGTGGTGCACGCCTTGGTCAGCCAAGATGGATGCCAGAGAGAAGGATTCTGGGAGGTGGTCGGACACGTGGTGTCTCCTTTTGACCTTTCCCAAACTCTTCCGGTTGGTGGAGGCTTATTAGTTCTGTGTTCCTTACCAGGACCTCCTGTCGTAAAACAGCTCATGCAAATGGTTACCATGGTGCCTGGCCGGGGTGGGGGCTTTCAATCAGTGTGCTTCCCCTAACACTTCCACACCACATACAGTTTTCAGTACGTGACAAAGAATTCTGTGCCATTCACGGCAACTTAGGGGAATAGCAGAGCTCCAGTGACCACTGCTCGTACTTTAGCAATACACATCACACATCACCTTATGGTCAGGTGTATATGTCCCTTTAAGATTTATTTATACATTATTGTTAGAACATATAAGTTTGACCATAGTTGGCTCATTTATGTGTTTCTAGAAGACTTCTCTTATTTCTTCTGAGAAAAAGGAAAAAAAGTCATGAACTCAAAATCCTTTTGATTTCACAGTAGGTCTTAAAACTCCAAACAAGTCAGAAGTAACCATTTCTATTTTATTTGCATTCCCAGTTTATCTCGTACATGGAGGCCTGTTCATAAAAATTGATATAACAGAGCAAAAATACTCTTAGAAGGCAGAGCTCCCTCTTTTATGAGCTATTCAAAATCAATCTTAATTTAAACAACCAAAAAGAAAACTTTGCTTTATTTTCTATGCCTTTTCTGGTAGCTTTGTCTATTTAAATATTTCTCTCTAGCACAACATGTTATATTTTTGACTCAATCTACGGAAATTTTCTCCAGTGAGATAGTGAAAGAACTAACCAAAGATACAAAAGAACTACTGTTACATGAACATCCTACAAGGCTAACTTCCTTTCTTTTGCAAAGATGGGACAATGTTTATTTGTATTCACAAACAGAGAGAAATGCTAGCCTCAGTTCTGTGTCTTTAGCTTTAGATCAAAAGTAAATCCAGAGGACAGTTTTCTGTGCTTGAGCAAATCTCACTGGTCAGTAGTGGCTACTTGGGTATAGGAAGGTCCAAGAGTCAAAAAGGATATCCAAGGAATACTTGTTATGAATTTCCTGATCTGGAACAGATCTCCAATCTAGTGGTACAAAAGTATCTCAAATGATTTTAGGTTTTGTTGCAGTTGTTTAGTTGCTAAGTTGTGTCTGATTCTTTTTGACCCCATGGACTATAGCCTGCCAGGCTCCTCTGTCCATGGGGTTCTCCAGGCAAAAATAGTGGAGTGGGTTGCCATTTCCTTCTCCAGGGGATCTTTCTGATCCAGGAATGCGTCTCCTGCATTACAGGTAGATTCTTTACTGCTGAGTCACAGGGGAAACTTGATTTTAGGTATACTGATAGTACAAGGCATATTAGAAGATACCACAAGTTTCAAGACAAACTAGTAGAAGAAACAAATGGAAAAAAGATCCCCTGTTATCTACCATCTACCACCCAACAGAGACTAGATGGCTGGATTCAAAAATCAAAATCAGACTTCCAACATTTTAGTCACCAGGGGAAAAAAATTAATGATTATGTGCAAACTAGAGCAGGAGTCTATAAGAACCAGCTTAATGCAAATATCAAAACAGATCCGGAGAAGAAACTTGTAGAAACACTCAATGATATTCACTCCAGGAATCAAGAAAGTTGGGTCTGGGATTTAGAAGTCTATACACAGTGCACTTTGTAGGGCAAGACTCAGGTCTGTTGTGTGAAATGACCTGGCCATCTCATTGGAACTCCAGCTGTGAAAGATGCAGAAGCAAAAGCAATTAAGAGGAGAAAAAGATGTTTGTATGCTAAAAATTGCAAGGAAACTACATTTTGAACTTTGGAAGACTTTGAAAAACCTGACTACCATGTAAAAAATACCAAAGATATACAAGGGGAAAAGCAGACAGAAGATTACCAAGGCCACAGACTGTTCGTGCAGAAAGTCTTCTCACGTGGTCATCCATATCAGTGTTGCAAGGCTTGTCATATTTTCCAGTATGATCACTCACATCTGTGATCCTGTGGTCCATGGCTCTGTCAATACATGCCCTGCCTCTCAACTGAGAGCATTTGGAAACTAAAATTACTTTTCAGAGGAGTTTGGTAAGCAGAGTATCAGTGCTGAATAATTTTGCTGCAGTCTTTAGTTTAAAATAGCTTCTGGGACAGGAAAGTTATTTTTACTAATGTGCCTTGTCATATGAAAATATTTTGTTCCTTAGATACTGTATGTCTCTTTTGAATACTTGTGGATAAGCTTTGACAGATTTACTTTCTTTTAGGTTTCATTTCTTCAGAAGGTCAATTTATGCATGTTATATTGATTTTGACATATTCAACCTTTTTTGGAGAACCCTACTGGAATGTTCAGATGATACATACATACATATATATATATGTATATATATATATACACACATATATATACATGAATTATGTGTGCTAATTACAGTGTATTTTCTATTTCATTATATTCATTATGAAATTGAATTTAAGACTTTTTAGAAGTTTGTTTTTCTTATTAACTATAATAAGATATTTTATATTTTATTTTTAGCCCCAAATCCATTGTTAGTAAAAGTGATAAAATTGACAATAAAGTTAAAAGAATTGGACCACACATAGAGATCTTCCAAGTGTTCCGGGGAAGAAAAAAATTTGCAATAACCAAAAACATAATTAAAATGGTCACCGTCATGCAGGCACTTGTCAGAGGGTGGCTCGAACGCAAAAGATTCCAAAGAATAATGACAAAGGTAAAGCATATATTAAATATTATAATGTGTTTAAAAATTCTTTGTTCTCCCAGTTTTACTGAGATATAACTGACATGTAGCACTGTCGTAGTTTAAAGTATACAGAATAATGATTGAGCTGTCATGCATCATAAAATGATTTACCACGATGAGTTTAATGAACATTCATCACCTCTTATATAGATACAAAATTAAGAAATAGAAAAAACTTTTCCTCATGATGAGAGCTCTTAGGTTCTCCTCTCTTTACTTTCATATATAACATATAGCAGTGTTAGTTATATTTATCCTGTCATGCATTACATCCCTAGCACTCATCTGTCTTATAACTGGAAGTTTGTACAAGAGCTGATTTCCCCTTCCCCTGCCTCCTGCCTCTGGTAACCACAAATCTGATGTCTTTTACTATGAGTTTGTTTATTTGCCTTTTTATTTGTTTTTGAAGTGTAATTGGCCTATAACACTATGTTAATTCCTGTTATACAACAGAGGATTTGATCCTTCTATACATTTCAAACTGATCACCACAAGTCTAATTATCGTTTGTCACCATACAAAGGTATCATGTAATTATTGAGTATATTCCCCATACTGTACATTTCATACCCATGACTCTTATAATATACAATTGTAAGTTTATACCTCTTAATCTCTGTTATCTGTTTGTCTTCTCCCTTGGATGCCCTCTCCTCTGGCAAAAACCTGTTTGTGTATATGACTTTGTTTCTGTTCTATTTGTTCATTAGTGAAATCATGCAGTATTTTTCTTTCTCTGTCTGACTTATTTCACATAGCATAATATCCTCTAAGTCAAAAAACAAAAAAAGGAAAAAATGTCCCCTAGTTCCATCCTGATATGAAGTAGGTTGTCAGAAATGACAAGATTTCATTCTTTTTTTTCACTCGTATCTCATTATATATAATATATATTATATATGCTTAATATGTATAATATACTATATTATATAAACATAGCATATAATTATGTATATGTTCATGTAATTATACATATTTGATTATGTATAATTATATATAAATATGATTGTATAATTATAGTTTATAATATATAAACATAAATCTATATTATATATGCTTTATATATATATAATAGAAAACACTGTATATATGGGGCTTCCCATGTGGCTCAGTGGTAAAGTGTCTGCCTGCCAATGCAGGAGAGACAGGAGACGTGGGTTCAATCCCTGGCTCAGGAAAATGCCCTGGAGGAATAAATGGCAACCCACTCCAGTATTCTTGCCTGGAAAATCACATGGACAGAGGAGCCTGGCGGGCTATAGTCCATGGGGTTGAAAAGAGTCAGACATGACTGAGCGTCTGAGCACATACATTATGTATATACCTTATCTTCTTTATCCATTCATTCATCAGTGTACATTTACATTCAATTAACAGACTTTTGAACAGTAACTTGGTCAATATACCTATGATTTTTCCAAAATAAAGTTCTTTGGTTAAAAAAATTGTTATGAATAATCTTCTCTTGTGACAGTTGCAGATTGTGTCAAGCTGGAGACTGTGAACAAATGCCTGGCTTATTCTTAACCCAACAGTCCTGGGACAACTTTTACTCTAAGGCTCAGAGCACCTATCTTTACACTGGTTTTGTTTCTCCTATACTATATGCTAATTTTCTGTTTAAAGCAACTTTCCACTTCTCTTACTCCTGGGTACTCTTGCAGAACATAAACCTTTACCTTAAAAAGAAACCACACATATCCACCTAACAACTTTTATAAACAGCAGTCCTGACATTCAAAATAAATCATAAAGACCTATTTTGGCTGGGCAAATGCAGGAGAATCCGAATGGATAGATTTCGGTGAACCTTTGAGAGAAATTCAAACATATTCTCACCTGAAGTCTGCCAGTAAAGAAATTTAGAAAACCAGCTAGAAGTGGAAGAATAGGTCAGAAGTGCCCACCTGAATTACTTGATTTTCTGGGAGGAGCCCTTTCAAATGGCCTTGCACTATACATCCTGAATACATTTCTCTGAGAACATAGAGATGCTGTTAGAACATAATCCATTTGCCTGTCTCTGTATGTATATGCATGCATGCATTAATAGTACATTTTATTGTTCAGTTGCTAAGTTGTGTCTGACTCTTTGTGACCCCACGGACTGTAGCACAACGGCTCTCTGTTTTTCATTATCTTATGGAGTTTGAGCAAATATATACACATAACACGCGTTTGTAGTTCTGATAATTATATAGGATAAAGCATGTAAAACTCTGAAATAAAACATTCCATATAGCTGATCTTTCACTCATTCTTTGAAATAGCTGCTATATTCATTTTATATGTGAAGAAACTCATGCTCAGAGAAATTAAGTCATTTGACCACAGTTGTACTGCTGGTAAGTGACTGAGCTAGAATTCGAACTTTTGTCTGACCCCAAAGCCCATGCTTATTCTACATATTATATCATCAACCTACTTTGTGGCTAATTGCTCCCTAATCTAATCTAAAGCCGTATCCCAGACTGGTCTCTCTAGCTCCAGATTGAGGCATTTAATTGCTTGTTTGCAAGGTCCATAGTTAGCTCAGACTCCACAGAGCCTTAAATGAACTCATTTTCTAGCGCTTCCTTTCTTGTACTACCCATTTTGGTGAACTCTCCCAATACCCACTGTGCAAGCTATATACCTGGAGTTTTCTTAGTGTCCTTCAGCTTGCTCACCCCCATGTTCAATTGGTCACCGCTTCCTTAATATTTCTTATGTGGCTCTTCCTCTCGGGGCTCTTGCCAGAGCTCCTATCCATCACCCCCTTGCATGGAGAACTGCAGTAGTCTCCTAATTGGTCTCCCTCCCTGTAGACCTACGCCCATCTAATCTGTCATGTGCAATGGAGGAAATTCCACTCTGATGACCTTATCCTATTCCTTAGAGTCTTTTGATGACTCCATATTGCTTATCAGATGAACTATGAATTCTCTAGCATACAGCACATCTGAACTCCCTGGTCTGGCCTTTTCCCGCTGTCCAGGCTCATCACATGACACTTTCTCATTAATACCCTGTGCCCTAGCAAAGCCCAAATTGTTTCATTCCCTGTTTCATTACTATTATCTTATGTGTTAATGCTGACCTTTCAGACTGGATTACTCTTGCTTTCTAATTTTCTCATAAACTCTAATTCTTTCTTTAAGAACTTAAATGTCCACATCTAGAAGAAAAGCTATGACCAATATAGACAGCATATTAAAAAGCAGAGACATTACTTTGCGAACAAAGGTCTGTCTAGTCAAAGCTATGGTTATTCCAGTAGTCATGTATGGATGTGAGAGTTGGACTATAAAGAAAGCTGAGTGCAGAAGAATTGATGCTTTTGAACTGTGGCATTGGAGAAAACTCTGAGAGTCCCTTGGACTGCAAGGAGATCCGACCAGTCCATCCTAAAGGAAATCAATCCTGAATATTCACTGGGAAGACTGATGCTGAAGTTGAAGCGCCAATACTTTTGCCACCTAATGCAAAGAACATCACTGGACTCATTGGAAAAGACACTGATGCTGGGAATGATTGAAGGCAGGAGGAGAAGGATGAGATGGTTGGATGGCATCACCGACTCAATGGACATGAGTCTGAGTAAGCTCCAGGAGTTGGTGATGGACAGGGAAGCCTGGTGTACTGTAGGCCGTGGGGTTGCAAAGAGTCAGACATGACTGAACGACTGAACTGAACTGAACTGAGATGCCCTCTCTGGTCCATCAGGCAGAGCTGATTTCTCCATTTCTGGTCATTATTGTGCTGATCATTCTACATTTTGACCTTTTGTTTACATGTCTGTCATGGACAATACAATCTATATGACCTGTTTGGGAGTACACACTATTTTTATTTATAACACCACATATTGTTTTGACACATATAGTCTCTCTCATTTTAACTATATTCACTTATTTGCTGTTTTGCATGTTTATTTACTTGTTTGCATGTATAACATATATGTATATATGTTTACTTGTTTGTGTGTGTATGTTTATGTGGTTTTCTGTCATGTTTGCTTCTGTGTTCAATACCTAGAACAGTGCTTAGCATGTGACAGGTACTCAACAAATGACTTTTTGAACGGATGAATTGATACAACAAAATATAGTTACAGCAGTTTGTCAGGGCACCAGAGATTCATATATATATATATATATATACACACACACACACATATATATAACATGTATATATAAACATATATAAGTAAATATAGCATGTCATATGCATGACATTATACATATAATGTAATTCATGTCCTACTCTCTGCGACCCCATGGACTATACAGTCCATGAAATTCTCCAGGCCAGAATACTGGAGTGGGTAGCCTTTCCCTTCTCCTGGGGATCATCCCAACCCAGGGATCAAACCCAGGTCTCTCACATTGCAGCGGATTCTTTACCAGCTGAGCCCCCAGGGAAGCCCAAGAATACTGGAGTGGGGAGCCTGTCCCTTCTCCAGGGGGTCTTCCTGATCCAGGCATAGAACCAGCATCTCCTGCATTGCAGGCAGGTTCTTTACCAGCTGAGCTACCAGGAAAGCTCAGTTATATCATAATTTAACTTAATTATAGCAGTTCCTGATGTTGGAGAGAGTTGTAGCATCATCCATAGCATATGCGACAAAAATATATCTAGAAAGCTTAGCAGGAATGGGCCCAAGATGATAATGAAAAGGAGAGATTGACAAAGAAGAATTTTAATTTCTATATGGAGGTAAAATTTGAAATGAAAAGAGTGAGAAGCCCTTTTCAAGGATCCCAACAAATATAAACTGGACTGTTGACTTCGATTTGGTTATAAAATTTGTTATGATCACTGACTTTCTTTTTTCTTCCACCATTGGTATGCTGCTTTGTATGCTGGATGGCTGTTCTGTTGATAGAGTGAATGCTGTCTTGCTCACTGATGAAATGCTTGTGTGGCAGGCCTGTAATGCATACATAGTCTGGTTCCAGGACTGAGCCTATGTGCAGGGTTGCTGTTGGGGGAATTCTTGATAGACTTTCTGGTCTAAAGGCCACACAGTGTATCCCTGGATAATTGTCAGGACTGTGGCAATCCCTCCACTGGGAAGCTTCCATAGTCATATTGTTTAGCTGGCACTCCAGAGCTTATGACTGTTGACAGTGTCTGCTAGAATGTCACTTTAAGGTACCTCAAGAGACTGTACAATTTCTATCTTTTCTGTGAAATACTCCAGGTTGGGTTTATTTAGAAATAATGAAGTGGCATTTTATTATATCAGCCATAAGGAGACTACAGAGATTGCTGTGTTTAACTATCAGCATTATTTATTTCCAGTCTTCCTAGGTGGTACAGTGGTAAATAATCCATCTGCAGTGCAGGCAATGCAGGAGACAAGGATTAGATCCCTGGGTCGAGAGGATCCCCTGGAGGAAAAATTGGCCACCCACTCCAATATCCTTGCCTGAAAAATTCCACAGAGAAAGGGGCCTGATAGGCTACAGTTCAAAGGGTTGCAAAGAGCTGGACATGACTGAGTGACCAAGCACGCATGTACAAACGGGGAGAACTATATTAATATATTCTCGAATACTTAAAAAAAATTGATCATAGTTGCTATTTACTGGATCTGATTTCTTGCCTGGTGCATAGAGCAAATAGTCCAGACAGAAATGGAGGAAGTCTCAGGTATTTAATAATGAGAACTTAGAAAGACCATTTAACCCAAAGGCCTCTGTCTGGTATGGGAGTAGTCCCATGAAACTGAGATCTGGAGGATGATTGTGTTTTGTCTGCAAAGTGTGTTTTGTCTGTGTAGACTGGGAAGTTGAGAGAGTTGCAGGCCCAGGGAAAGAAAATCTCAGTGGCCTTAGGTGAGACAGAACATTTGGGGGCCTAGTTAGGAGGACAGTGGCAATAGAGGAACATGAAGGTAGGAGCAGATGAACAATGTTCTTCAAAACCATGCTAAGGAGTTTATACTTAGTGTATCAGAATGGATGACTTTAGAGGAGGTGAGTGACATGAAGAGATTTGCTATTTTAGAAAAATTACTGACTCTGGACAATGAATTGAGTAAAGAGGATGACAAAATTAGAGAAAAAACCACTAGGATGCTTATTCAGTAATGATAATGTTGGTGTTGATTTGGGGTAAGGTTGGAGAAATGGATAGGAGATAGGATATTGAAAGTGATTGGCTTTGGCGATGAGAAATGGGAGGAGTCAACAATGGTTCTGAGGCTTTTGTCTTGAGCAACATGATGGATGGTTGTGAAATATAGAACTTAGGAGGGGTGAGTAGGAGAGGTGGAGGGAAAGGAAGGGAGGTAGAGTCCATTCTTCAACACTGAGCTTGAAGTGGCTGTGCAACATCCTTGAGACGTCTGGGAAGTGATTGGGTACAGGAGTCTAAAGCTCGGAAGGATGACTGGGCCATAGGGAGGCATTTGGGGTTCATGAGAACTTCTAAAACTTTTTCTACCTTAACACAACTTAAGGAATACAAACCCTCCCACACATTAAAGTGGCTCAATCTGGCAATGATTATCACTTTATCTCTGAGAAAGCTCTTTCTCCAGGTGACTGCATGGCTTTCTTACTTCATTCATGTCTCTGCTCACTGTGACATTATCAAAAACCCTGCCCAGTACTATCCTATTAGAAAAACACTTACTCTGATCATTCCCTATTCTATTAAAAACACTATTGTTCTTTGTACTACTTACTACTATGTAATACATATTTGTTCACTGGATTATCATCCCTTCCATCAGAAATTTTTTCTCTTCACTAATCTGTTCACACGGTCTAGAAATATTCATGGTTCATGTTTTTGAATAAATTATTTTCAACACAGTGGAGGAGGGGTAAGAGGGTGTAAAACTTCATTCAGCTCTGCAACCAAGGATACCCTCCTGTACTCTGCCTTCATCCACAGATTTGAGAATCATTATTAGTGGTACTGTCTAGAGCCATGGAATTGATGTCATTGGCCAGAGAGTATATAAGGTAAGGATAGAGGCAAAGAAAGATAAGAATGAGAAAGACGAGTGGTCAGAGGGGGAGCCAGAGGTGAGGATTTCACAAACAACAAAGAAATAGCTAGAGAAGTCTGAAGAAAACTGAAACATGTTAGATCAAGAAAGTTCAGACACAGTGTGATAAAGAGGGTCAGGTCAGTGATTCCCAATGTTTCTGGGAATGAAGGCCTAGGCAAAAATGGGTAGAAAACATGAGCTAGTGCTTCACAGTAGAATAAACATAAATGGTTAGTAAACATGAAAAGAGGCTACTCTTGCTGGTAATCATAGAAATTGAGTACCACTAAGTATCATATAGTAGTGGAATTAACCAAACAAGAAATAAATTCATTACTTAGAAACAAAAGACATGATCGTATCAAATACAAAGCAGACTTTTATTTGTAAAAAAATGTTAATCCTGATGTATGATAAGCATGATACATTTACAGTTTAAGTCAACATGGATTGGAAAATTATAATCAGTAATTTGCATTGTCTTTTATTTAAATATTGCTGTTTTATCAATTTGTACATTTTTCTGGTTAATTCTATCTTCAGAAAAATTTAGAAATATAGTGGAAGATTTGCATACTGAGATGACATGGCATCATAACTAAGGCATATTTCTGTACAGAAGGCTGGCAGAGAGGCATGCTATAATAAGAAGCACACAGATGGACGACTGCCATTTTCTCTGACCCAACTTCTTAACCATGAAAACCTCCTAGGTAGCCTTCTGAATGCCTCAGATCTGAGAAGGGTTTCTTCATGAGATGGGTTGTGTCCACAAAAGAGTATTTATTAAATTTGGAGGAAAAAACACTCAGCTTGCGTTTGGTGACTGCCCAAACGTTCCTTCTCCCTTAGCAAATGTCACCATTCAACTAAGCAGCACTCTAAGCAAGGACCTTTTGGTTTATATTCTAAGAATACAATTAAAACAGTGCTTGATTTTTAATTATAAGCAAGAGGGACCTACTGACAGATTTAAGCAGGAAGGTATTGAGTAAAATTTTGGGCAGAGGTCTGAAGAAGTAAGCTCAGAAACATAGGGGAATGATGAAGGGTAGCCTAGATAGCTCCCTGGACTGCAGTCAAATCCTGCGCAAATTCTGATGCAACCGCTGAATCCTGTACTCCCTCCACAAATGCCACCCTTGGAAAATGGATATTGTGCCAAGATTACTCTTCCACAGAAATAGATTTCCCACTGTTTCCCTTTTAAAAGCATTATTAGTTTCTAGTCAAAACCTGAGGCGTGTGTAGATAATGGATGAGGCTTTGTCACATGTCTGCATCCTAGCAACAGAGGAGGCTTAGGTTGTGAGCATCTGATTTGTGGCTTCAAATAAAGGACATGAGCTCTGCCTTCTACTAAGATTCACATGGTGGGGAGTGCTCCTAAAGTGTGACCCATTTGTTATTTAAAACAAAACAAAGCAACAACAACAAAGTGACAAAGCTCTATTGAAGAAAAGGGAGATTAAAATTACACATTGGAAAACGTAATTAAATGTTGAAAGACATTAGCAAACATTTAGAATCTGCCCGATTCTGATGGAATTCAGGTGGAAGGAGAAAAGGAAAGTAGTGAAATGATGCTAACTTATTTTTTGTTCAGGTAAATCAAGAAATATTATTTCATTGAAAATTTTGACAAATTAAGAAATATAGGCTTAAACATAGTATCTAAAAATGTCAGAGAAGAACCAGAAAGCTAAACAAAGGTGAAGAAAAATAAAATAATAAAACAACCTTTAAAGAATCACACAAAACAGAAAATAAATGACAAGAGCAAGAACAATCGATCATAAGTGTAATAATAAATAAACTAGGAAAGAACTAGAATAAGAATTTCCAGAATGGGTGAAAAATATGAAATTCAAGTAAATTAAGAGGAATATAGCATATGATTAAAAGTGTGGACTATGAAGTATCCTTGTTTTGAATTTAGAACCAGTTCTGTAATTTACTAACTATAGGACGTTGGGAAAGCTAAAGATTTTATGCTTTAGGGTTTTTACTTGTGTAATAGTATGCAAAGCATGTCAAAGGAAAGCAGACTCAGAAGAAATTTCATGAACTTAAGTAGATTCCTAAAAATATAATGAAAATTGGTGAATGAAGTTTTTAATTCAAGAAGTCAAGAAGGAGAAAAGAAACCTTAAAAAAGGAATTAATAAAGATAAGTAGAGAAAGTAATGAGCTAGAAAATAGAAAATGTAAAAATAATTGAATGGATAAAGAAGATGGAACTGGTTATTAAGAAAAAAAATGAAATAGATGAATTTTTATACTTTTTAAAAAGTTTATTTGAGTAGAATGTATAAAATGTGCATACAGAGAAATATAGTCATAAATAAAATACAAGCTGATAGAACAGGTATGTACCTATGATAAAACCTGAAAAAAATCCAGTGAAAAATAAGTACAACACATAAATATACAGTTTCTGAAAGAAACAAAATACAAGGATTTGAGCACCCAGAGTGGATAGAACATTACAGAGTAATGCCTTAATAAAACTTTTATATATATATTTTTCTGGCTAAGTAGGCTACATATTATAGAAATCTCTACACCAACCTAGGAAGCTTCTATGCAATTATTCATTACTAAAACTTCTATGTTATGGCAAGCATAAGTATGTGATGCCAAAGCAACTCAAAATGATGTTCTCTGAACTTTAGGGAGATTATACCACTCTATGATGCACGTACTTTGCTAACCTTATTTAGAAATATAAATAAATGCTCTAAGAAACTGGGTGAGATAGATGAAATGAATAGGACATAATCAGATTCAGTATAAATAGCAGAAATATATAAGGAGTTCAACTGTTTATATTGCTATTTTATAGGCTTTGTATCATGGACCAGACTTGAGGACAGTTATAAATATGTACTGCAGACAAATCCATCGTGTTAAATATCGACTTGGTCTTTGGAGGACAAGACAAATCATAAACCTTACAGAGTTGGAGGAATGGATGGACAGAAAAAAATGTGAGTGATGCTGTCCTTTCTGATTTGATTTTAGGTTTGGAATTAATTTAACCATTAAAAACTTACATATAATTTACATATAATTACCCATAGAAAACACAAGTAGACAGTATTTTTATTGTTGCAAGCTATTTGCATTTTAAGGTGACATATGAGGATTAATTTATTAGGCTTAAAAAAATAGGAAATTTAATAGAAAGATAGTTAAAGAATCAGATTTCAGATGGAGCATGAACCAGAGTAGCTCCAGAGATCTAGGGAGCAAAAAATAAGGCAAAATCTCTTATTTGCCTCTAGGGGGGATACAAAAGATGCTATCACTTTATGACTTTTTATTCTTGAGCTTTAAATTTTAATTCTAGGGAGAGAACTCCTGGTTGGTTTAGCTTGAGTTATATCTTCAACACTTGCCTTGGTGCAGGACGAGGAAATGTGATTGGGAGCTGCATAGGGGCTCTATTCACTGGAGGGAGGGAGGAGTTCCCCAAAGGAAAGCTATGTGTTTATAACAGAATAGCAGTTCATGGGCACTGAGGAGATGAAACAACAGATATCCATTATATGTTGCTTTTTAGTGTTGAAATTCCATGCAACGGACAAGTTTTCCAATTTCCATTTTAATTTTCAGAGATCCTGATTTTTATTATATTTAGTACTGCTTAGGATTAGGATGAATATTACAGTTTGTTTCTTGACTTAAAATAAATGAAGACTTCTGGTTTTTGCTTTTGCATGTAAGGGGCTTGGAGGTCATCACTCCATCTTAACAACAAATAAAAAATCTGAACAGATTAAAACATCCGCAACTCAGCTGAGCCCTGTAAGAGAGGGGAGGAGGATACAGGCAAACTGGAGAGACAGGCTTGCAAATACAGGCAGCCCCAGGTTACTAGAGCAGAGACTCATGAGCAGAATCTGATGTGGGAACCGGCAGTTGGGTAAGAAAAATGAACTGTAATTGACAAATGGCTGCAGGCTCAATGTGGACAACACTGAGTTAAAAGTTCCAGGAGGATCCAGTCATAAAGGGACCTCCACAGTACTGTGATATTTACCTACAGAAGCTCAATCAGATTCCCAGAATAATTATGAGAAAATGAACCATTTTGAAATATGCCAGAGCCCTCCATTCTTCTTAACAAGGCCTGCCTTCAGGGGAAACTAATTAACCAGAACCTAACCTGTTGGGTATTATCAGAGCCTAATTAAGCTGTGGAAGGGAAATACCCAATTCTCATCCACTCTGACTATCCTGTCCGACCTAAGGGGGAAGAAAAAGACAGGGAAACATTCATGAAATTCATAGTCCAGAGACATAGGCTCAATCAGAGACTGAGACCTAATTGTTTGAACACTTCCCCTCCCCCAATACCTTATCACCACATTACCAATGGCCTTTTTATAGCAATTCCTTTTATCAAATACCCTAGTCATGTCTAGCTATCTAGAAAAAGTTACAAGCTATACAAAAATGCAAAAACACAATTTGTAAAGATAAAGCAAACATCAGAACCAGACATGGCAGGGATGTTGGAATTATTAGACTGAGGATTTAAAACAAGTACAATGAATATGTTAATTATGGATAAAATAAATAGCATGCAAGATGGGCAATGTAGGCAGAGAGATGGAAATCCCAGGAAAGAAATGATGACAATTAAAAAAAAAATACTGTAACAGAAATGAAAAACACTTTTGATAGGCTTCTTGGAAAGATGGCTGAGGAGAGCTTCCCTGTGCTAGAAATTATATCACTAGAACCCTTGAACACTGAAAAGCAAAGAGAAAAAATGCTTAAATAAAAAACAGAATAAATGCTTAAATAAAAAACAGAACCCTTGAACACTGAAAAGCAAAGAGAAAAAATGCTTAAATAAAAAACAGAAAAAACGCTTAAATAAAAAACAGAATAAAGTATCTAGGGATTCTGGGGAAACTAGGGAAGGAGTTACATATGGAAATACCAAAGGGAGAAGAAAGAGAAACTGAAGAAATATTTATAACAATAATGGCTGAAAATTTCCCTAAATTAATGTTAGAAACTAAACCACAGTAGCCCAGAGAATACCAAGAAGAATAAGTTCCAAAAAACTATATTGAGGTATATTATCTCCAAACTACAAAGTTAAAGATAAAGAAAAAATTCTGAAGGAAGTTAGATAGAGAAAATATCTTGTCTCTGGAGAAAAAAAAAAAAAGACTACATTGACTTATCCAAAACCATTCACGCAAGAAGAATGGCATGAAATAGTTGAGAGAAAGAAACCACCAACCTAGAATTTTATGCCCTGCAAAATTATCCTTAAAAAAATATGAAGAACTTTCTTAGAAAAGCAAAACTTGATGGAATTTGTTGCTGGCATATATGCCTTGCACAAAGCATTTAAAATTTTTTTTAGAGAGAAGGAAAATAATATAAGTAAGAAACTCAGACTACAAAAACAAGAGCACTGCATAAGAAATAAGAAGGTAAAATTAAACATTTATTTTTCTTATTCCAAAGTGTTTTAACAGATGACAGTTATTTAAAAAAATGCTAACAATATAATATACATGTACAGCTTCGGTATAGTTTTATATGCTAATATATGTACACATATATATAAGTGAAGTGAATGATGGCAATTATACAAAGGATGGGAGGAAGGAATTAGGGTTATTTTGTTATTGTAAGATGTTTGTGATATCCATGTAGTAGGATAGTGTTGTTTGAAAGTGGACTTGGATTAACTGTTTATATGTTTAATGAATATTGTGGATGAGGACAACCCTTTAAAAAAATGAAAAAAAAAGAAGTAAAATCAATATTCTGTGAAATGAGATAAAGAGAAATCTTATAAAATCCTCAACACTACAAAATGCAGAGAAAGACAGAAGATAAAAATAAGAACAAAGAAGAACAAGGCAATAAATAGAAAACCTATTGGATATAGCTATGAATTCAACTATATGAACTGTGACTTTGAAAGTTAAATTATCTAAATCCACTAATTAAAGAGAGACATTGTCAGTGTGGATCAAAAATACAACTTATCTGTTATGCTATCTACAAGAAACCCACTTTAAATATAAATATATATGTAGATTAAAAGTAAATGGATGGAGAAAAATACACCATGCTAACAATCAAAAGAAAGCCGGGATAGCCGTATTAATTTTAGATAGAGCAGACTGCAAATTAAGGAAAGTTATCAAAGATGAAGAAAGGCATTACATAATGATAGAAAGGTCAATTCTCCAAGAAGATATTAACAATTTTAATTTTGTATGTGCCTAACAGCATAGCATCAAACTATGTGAGACAAAAACTGATATAATTACAAGAAAAAAATAGATGAATTCACTGTCACATTTGGACTCTTCAGTGCTCCACAATAAGAAACAGACATATCAAGCAAGCATAGTAATAAAGACATAGTTGACCTCAATAATGGCATCAGACAACAGGATATAATTAACATCTCTAAACTATTTCATTCAACAACAAAATAACTTTTTTTTTCAAGTTGCCAAATGGGACATTCACCAGTTCAGTTCAATCACTAGGTTGTGTCCAACTCTTTGTGACCCCATGGATTGCAGCATGCCAGGTTTCCCTATCTATCACCAACTCCCAGAGCTTGCTCAAACTCATGACCATTGAGTCAGTGTTGCCATCCCACCATCTCATCCTCTGTCATCCCCTTCTCCTCCTGCCTTCAATCTTTCCCAGGATCAGGGTCTTTTCCAATGATTCAGTTCTTCAAATTAAGTGGCCAAAGTATTGGAGCTTCAGCTTCAGCATCAATCCTTCCAATGAATATTCAGGACTGATTTCCTTTGCAATTGACTGGTTTGATCTCCTTGCAGCCCAAGGGACTCTCAAGAGTCTTCTCCAACACCACAGTTCAAAAGCATCAATTCTTTGGCGCTCAGCTTTCCTTATGGTCCAACTCTCATATCTATACATGACTACTGGGAAAACCATAGCTTTGACTAGACAGACCTTTGTTGGTAAAGTACTGTCTCTGCTTTTTAATATGCTGTCTAGGTTGGTCATATCTTTTCTTCCAAGGAGCAAGCGTCTTTTAATTTCCTGACTGCAGTCACCATCTGCAGTGATTTTGGAGGCCCCCAAAATAAAGTCTCTCACTGTTTCCATTGTTTCCCCATCGGTTTTGCATAAAGTGATGGGACCAGATGCCATGATCTTCATTTTTTGAATGTTGAGTTTTAAGCCAGCTTTTATCACTCTCATCTTTCACTTTCATCGAGAGGCTCTTTAGTTCTCTTCTCTTTTTGCCATAAGGGTGGTGTCATCTGCATATCTGATGTTATTGATATTTCTCCCAACAATCTTGATTTCAGCTTGTGCTTCATCCAGCCCAGGATCTTTCATGATGTACTCACCATGTAAGCTAAACAAGCAGGGTGACAATATACAGCCTTGATGTACTCCTTTCCCAATTTGGAACTAGTCTGTTGTTCCATGTCCATTTCTAAGTGTTGCTTCTTGACCTGCATACAGATGAACCATATTCTGGGCCATAGATATATCTTAACAAATTTTAAATAATGGAAACAATATGACGTTCACTGTCAGACCACAGTGAAATTGAATAGGAAATCAGCAACAGAATGATACCTGGAAAATCCCTGAATATGTGGAGATTAAACAACAGATTTCTAAATAACACACAGATAAAAGAAGAAATCTAAAGGAAAAGTAAAGATATTCTAAATGAAAATGTTACTTATCAAAATCTGTGTGATGCAGAAAAAGCAGTGCTTAGAGAGACACTTATAGCACTGAATGCATATATTAGAAAGGAAGAGTAGTGTGCTCAGTTGTGTCCGACCATTTGTGGCCCAGTGGACTGTAGCCTGCCAGGGTCCTCTGTCCATGGAGTTTTCCAGGCAATAATACTGAGCAGGTTGAAATTTCTTCTTCCAGTGGATCTTCCTGACTCAGGGATCAAACCCATGTCTCTTGTGTCTCCTGCATTGGCAGGCTGATTCTT